GAAAGACCTACTTACATCGTGTTTAATGCTAATCATGATGGGCACCATGGGGAACAGAGCCACCTCTTTCACAGCCGTGTCTGCCAAGTGGAAGGTGATGTAATCCATTGCTAGGATCGCAACTGTCAGCATCAGAGTCAAAGAGAGGAGCACCATGCGCATCAGGCACCCCATCATTTCCTCCCGGGACAGCTTCAAGCCGGCAGAGTGGATCCGTATTTTGGGTGAGCATGTCAGCAAAGGGGCTGTGTTATTGTCCGCAGCTAAGCGCTCCAGCTTTTTGGTGATGTAAATGTTGTCAAAGCGGAGGTCTGTGAGATAGCGCTTCAAGTACCACCCGGACTCCCACAGGAGACAGAGCAGAAAGAAGCCAGCAGCCACCCTGTTGGCTACCAGCACAGCCTGTCTGACCAACAGTTCCACAGCAGAGAACTCTTCCTTGATCTTCTCACTAGCAATGAGTACTTGCTCCCTCACCAAGGAGTTACTATTATTCATAGAGAACTGAAAATGTCCATTCTTAGGCGTCAGGGAGTTACTTGCCATGTTGTCGACGACCTTTTTGATATGGTGCCCAAACTGCCTGGAAGCAGTTCCCAGCAGAGCGGTTGAGTTCAAAAGGCTGTTGGAGGAATTCTCGCAAACGCACTTAATAACCTGCAGTAGGCTCTTAATGTTGTCTAGGATGTTGGGTATAACGTTAACTGCCACGATCATAAAGCAGGTGGACAAGAGCAGCCGTTGGCCTTGCTTCGTGCCCAGTGTAGGTACGATCATGGTGAACATGCAGCGAAGAGGGTGCACCAAGAAGAGAGCCAGCAGAAACAGCACACTGAAGGAAACGGCAATTGCAGAGGAGAGGTGATATGGATATTCTAGTGAGGAGAACATCCAGTTGTAGAAGAGGCCACCTGTCAGTCCGGCAATGCAGCAACACTGCAGAAATAAAGCCAGGAGCTCGCCGCAGCTTGAAGGCACTGGCTTCGAATAGGTAGACCATGCATGTAACATTATTTCTTGTATTTTTGGAAGCAGATTGTCCTGGCAATAGATCCAGACTCTTGACCTATACCAAGCAAAAGCCAGTCCATATTTAGCAGCCTCAATAGAGAAATACATTGATACAAGCCAAAAGATTGTGTCAAAACAGTGATTGTCAGATGAAGCAGAGTAACATTCACCAAGCTGTGAAAGCCACTCCTTATGCACTACAAAGTTACTAATAGAAATGGGACAAGAAAGAAAAGCACTTGCTGACTTATTTTTCATGGGCATTATCATACATATGGGTGACTACTAGCAGATGTCTTCTTTTGGCGGGTGGGTGTGATGCACTAACAGGTCTTTTTTGTGCTCTTCCTTCCCTGAACACATCTTGTCTCTCACTTCTGTTCCTCTGTGGTGGCTCTGCTGAACTAAGCACATGGGACATAGAATTTCTTTCAGATAGCAAGGAAAGTGTTTCTTCAAAGTTCAAAATTTCTCAGTGTTTCTTTCATCTTTTTGTTCTGAATATGTGCAGCACCTTGCATGGTGGGACCTAGGCAGTACCACCATGCACAATATAATAACTATTATAATATCAACCCTACAGTTATTATGATTAATAGAAATAGATTAAGCTCCACCAGGAGTAGATATTTGACCAGGATTTAGAGAAATCAAATTGGGAGCTTCTCTTCTCCCTCTCTCATGCCACAAGGACAAGGGGACATTCCGTGAAATTAATAGGGAAAAATTGCAACCTGATACAGGGAAATATTGTTTCACACAACATGAACAGGAAGCTATTAAGGCTAAGAATTTTTAAAGATTCCAGAAAGGATGCCTGGACAATTCTAGGACTACATAGAGTTATAATAATCATAATAAAATGACAATAAACATTTGGGGAGGGATATTAAACCTTCATGCTTTAGTTGTAAGCCAATATCTCACTATTAGAAATCAGGATGAGATCCAATGTCCCATGTCTGCCTGCTTTAGGGTTCTTACACCTTCCTCTAAGGCATCTGGTGCTGATCAGGATACTGGGCTAGGTGGACCTTAGGTCTGATCAGACTGGCAATGCCTAACTTCCTGTCACTCAAACCAAACCAGAACCTCCACCATTATTCTTTGGGGGAGAATATTGAATAAGCAATTATGGAACAATTGTTCCTTGTCCACAGATAAAATGACAGTTGCATAGGCACAGAGACAGGGAGAAAGAGATGCAGAGGAAAGTGATTCTACATACCCAGGTCCGTGAAGAGGCCCTGTGCTCTCTCCTGAGTGCTCCATCTTTCAGGAAAGTGTCTTGCCACCTAATCCACTCAGAAAGAAACCTTAACTAGAGCTCCCAAAAGGCACAGGCAGATGTAGAAGTGACCAGGTGGAGCCAGGGAGGAAGGTAGATTTCAATGGTTGGACGTTTCAAAATGGTTCAGACTGAATGCCGGGTGCTGCCAAATGGGGCAAGCGGGGCCCCAAAAGATGAGCTCAGTGTTCCTACGAGCCCCAGACAGAGATCACACACGCAGATGCAGAACCAGCATAGCTTGTGTCTCTTGAGGAATCTCTGCTGCACTTGTAGACTGCATTTCTAAAAACCACCAGGGGTGTTGCACAATTTTGCCCTAGAAAGCAGAAGTTTGGTTTCTGAAAAGGCAATGCCATTTATAGTCTGTAAGGCTGCTGGAAAAAATGCGTGTTGCTGATGATAAACCCTTGATTCTGGTTAGTGAATTGGTCATCAGCTGATCATCATTGCCTTTCAATATACCCGATATACAGAAGGGTTTGCCAGAGAGCTTGGGCAGATAATGTTTAGCCTCAGGGACTGCTCGCAAAGCTGCTCTGCTATTTGCACTGCTTCAGTTGCTCACTTGGGTAAATGAAGCTTTTCAAAAAGGAGACCAGTGGATAACACTGTGACGGACCTCCCCCGCCTCCCCAATGCTTTATGAAATGGACTCACGGACATGAATATACATAACTCAAAGGTGGTTTGAGCGAATTATTTCATGTAACCCATCGAGCTTCATGTCATGATCTGCTGGTTCTGTTTATCTTACTCTGTTGTATGTATCCTGTGTGTGTGTGTGTAAAATTAGACACACGGAGTGGGGAATACTTTGTGAGTTTCAAATGTGTGAATGGGAGACATGGAGGCAGTCTCCATAGAGAAGTTACCTGCGACTTCTAGATGAGCCACTGTTAAACAATCTTTTGTCCTTGAGTCTGAGCAGTGGTTTGTAGGGAGGGTCTGAGCAACGGCTGGTATCGAGTGTCCTCAACTCCTTAACAAAAGGAATAGGAAAGCAGAGGTCTGGGTCTTTTGGCTGGGCTGCACCTGAAGGAAGGAGCCTGAAACCTCAGGGTGGGAAAAAGACCCTGGTTTAGACTGGCAGCTGGAAAAGAGATTTTAGGGTGAATTTAAGTTTGCACTGAGGTTTCAGTAGAGAATTAGCCAAGCGGTTTTGTTTCTTTTGATTTGTAACCTACTTTGCTCTGCCTGTTTTCACGAATTATGACTGAAATCCTACTGCTTCACCTTAGTAAAACCATTTTTATTTTCTATCAAACCCAGTGTAAGTGATTGTTACCTGGGGGGGCAACCAGCGTGCACATTCCCCCTTTCATTGTTAAAGGTGGCTTGCCTAATTCTTTGGGGTTTGAGCCCATGTGGGGAGTGCTCTCTCAGGAGGCTGGGCCCTAAACTGCCCTCTCCTTGGACCTCAAGTGGTTCAGTGTCTATACTGCTTCTCAGTGGGGATGGGGACCTCAGCTCGGGGCCTTGGCTTGGGGAGACCAGCGGAGCTGGCCCAGCAGGACCGGGCGATGAGGAGCCCCAGAGAGTGGGAAGGTGAGTGTAAGTGGCTGTGTCAGCAGCCCAGGAGGCACCCCTGAGGGGTCGTCTGTGACTGCACCTCGTCACAAATACTACTTACTTATGCGGGGCATTTTCAGTCAAATAAAAACTGGTGTGACAATTCACAACATTTTCGAGATCTGTGAACATTTTTACAAAGCCCTAGTGACCAACCCAATAATGGCCCCATGAATCATACAAACTGAGCCTCAGGCTATGTCTACACTACGAGTTTTCTTGGCAACAAATATGCTAATGAGGGATTCATTTGCATAAGTCACGATCTCATTTGTATATTTTCTGCCGATCTGTTTTTGTCCTGGGTTTTTTGGGCAAAAACCAGCAGTGTGGACATTTTCTTTTTGCGCAAAACCCCTTTTCCCACAAGATCCTTATGCCCCAAAAAAGGAGGTTTACCAATCCGGCAGGAAAAGGGGCTTTTGTGCAAAAAGAAAACATCCACACTGCTTGTTTTTGTGCAAAAACCCCAGTACAAAAACGGATGGCAGAAAATACTACTACTGTACTACCTTTTTCCGCAAAAACGAGTTGCATAAATTATGCAAACGGGACAGCGATATGCTAATCCATGCCTCATTTGCATACTCACTGCCAGCAAAACCAGCAGTGTAGACAGCCTCAGTGCTTTGATTCCTGAAAATACTCCCCTGTCGGTCAATTAGTATGCTGCAACTCTGAAAGACCCCCCAGCAGCCTGAAAGCACTATTCTGTCCTCTGCCAATTTAATTCCCTTCTTGGATTCCTTTTCTTCTTGCTAATTATGCTTTGTTCCTGACAACACCTGCCTTGGAGGGATGCTACCATCTCATTGAGTGGTTTCACCTTAGCTAGGGTGGGCACTAGCATTGCAGAACTCACCTCTCGCCACACAGAGTGAAGCCTTTCCCTCTCCTTCCATCAACCCCTCGCTTTTTACAAAAGTGGTTTTATTCTGCCACTGCTGATCTCCATAGCCAGAGTATGTCCTTTTATTCCCCTGTAAGGCCTTCTTCCTGCATATGTTGTCTTGTCCATAGCAGTGGTTTTCAAACTACAGGTCACAACCTAGTACTGGTCATGAAATGTCAGGAATCCGGTCTCCCTGCTGCAGGGGGATCAGGTGATTAGTGGAGGTGCTAAGGCAGGCTGCCTGCCTGTCCTAGCACCATAGACTGTGCTGCAGTCTAGAAGTGGCCGGCAGCAGGCCCAACTCCTACGAGTATGTGGGGCGGGGGCACACTGCCCCTGAGCACTAGCTCCACATTCCCATTGACAGGAAACCTGCTTCTGGGGCGCAGCACAGTCTGCAGTGCCAGGAGAGGCAGGAAGTTGCCTTAGCACCCCCGCTATACTGCTGACTGGCAGCTGCTCAAGGTGAGCCCCTCCTGCCCCAGCCCTGATCCCCTCTCCCCAAAGCCAGAGCCGACACCTACGCCCAAAGCTCTCATCCTCAGCCCCACCCCGGGCTATGGAATTAACTCCCACCAGTGCTGGGGAGCATTATAAATCATAAATCTCCCTGAGTACAAGGTGATCCTCTTTCACCTCTCTTCTCCATGTATAATAAACAGCTCAGCATGTACGTTTCAAAACAAACACAAACCACACCACTGCACACACAGTTCTCCCCTGGGGGAGAGGCTGAGGACCCACGCACCGCAGCTGTGAACCAGGTTGCTCCGTGCACTGTTGGAAAATGCTCACAACAGTGCAGTGATAAGGATGGTTATTAGAATCAGGATAGAATAGAATCAAATCCAGCTAGTAAAAAAAAACAAAACAATTAATTTTATTTCTGTGGAAAATGTCAACCAAAATGTTTTTCACTTGAATGTTTTCATGAAGATAGTTTTTCAAAGGAAAAATTCACAGTGAAACAAACATTAAAATGTTTCCAGTTTTGCATGTTGGTTTTACTCAGCCTCCTACCCTCTTTTTATTTTTTCCGAGCAGGTCAACTGACCAGCAAAATGAAATCACATCAGTTACAGCTGTTGTTATGAAAGAATTCGTCACTTACTGCCTGCAAAAGGAAATGTTTCAGGATGATAGGAAGGCTAGTGGTTAGAGCACAAGTCTAGGAGATAACACGTCATCATTTTTACACAATCATGCCCTGTGCCTTTCGTCACCTCATCACGCTGGTTGTCAGCTTCCTGCTATGTGAAATGGGGATATTGGTACTATCCTCTCAACTTCAGAGAGCTGTTGGAAGGTTCCCCTGACATTTGTGAATATCACACACTATATGAGCATGATGTGTA